TCCTTCAAATGAGCATTCTTCTCATCGTCTGGGTTTCTAACAGTTCCTCTAACAGTGTATCCCTTCTCAAGGAGGAGCTTCACCAGCCAAGAGGCAATGAAGCCGCCGGCGCCGGTGACGCACACAATCTGGCCGGAAACTGGTGACGTGTCAACCGGCATGGTGTTGTAGAAAAGGGTTAATTATTACTTATTAGTTTGTTTGGGGGTTGAAGAGAGAGATTGAAGATATGGATGCAGAGAAATGAGTGGCGATTTGGGTGGTTTTTATAGGGAGTAACAAATTAAAACTCACCTACCACAACTTTAAAAAAGAGGAAACAAAATTGCACATTTCTTAAAAGGGTTTATTGGGGTTTGCCAATATTATTTGAATATTTGGGTCAAAAGTAAGACCCACGATGCTTCACCGAAGATGCCTGCCTGTAGCTGCTCTCTCTCTCTCTCTCTCTCTCTCTCGGAATAATTTCTCATCAATTTGATATATGGTACTTGTTTATCTTTTATTTTATCATTTAAAAAATTTAGCTTTTCTTTTTTTTCCTTAAAACTTTTAACTCTTTTATAATATAATTTATGTAATTTTAGTTTTATGATTTAAATGTTTAAATCTATCGGCCTAAAAAGCACTCAACCCAACTGTAGTCCATCACCCAAAATGTCAAATTCGAATTTTACAGACTTGAATATAATTTAATTGATTAAAAGAYAATTTTTTGTAAAGTTACATCGATTCTCAATTCTTCACTTTACTCATCGTTGATGAATTAAAAAAGAAAAACAACTCACACCGATAATTTTACTCAATCAAACCTAACTATAAATCTTTAAAAATAAAAAGTAACAAGGGAAGGTTTAGATCCTATTTTAGTCTCTAAAGTCTATGGTCTCTTATATTTAAGTAAAAAGATTTTGCCAACTTGATATAATTCTAACTAGTTAAGGTAGCTAATAGATCGTAAATTCAAATTTCYACCTCTACAATACAATAAAGGAAAAAAAATAAATTTAGTTCATTAACTTTTAAAATATCTATTTTAATTAATTTGCCATCATCATCTAATGTTCTACTACCCATGGCTCAAACTCAAACAAGTCCATTCAAACATTTATCTCTGAAAAATTTATTTCTCACYCTAAATTTTTTTTATTTCTAAATTTCTYCCTATAAACTTTATTTTTCTCTCTTCAAATTTTCATATTTTGAATATTTATTATTATTTGTCTCTCTTCAAATTTTTATGTATTTTTGTTTTTTTTAACAAACTAGTTTCATTTCTTTTTCTAAAATTTTAATATTTTTCCTAACTTTTTCTCTCTAAAATTTCATCTTTTATAACTTTTCTTTCTGTYCGTAATCTATTTTTTCTTCTGAAAATTTTATTTTATTTTTTCCTTCAATTTTCTTTTACGGTAACTTTTATTTATGTTTGTATTTATTTATTTTCTCTAAAAATTATATTTTGAATCTTGTTTATATCTCTAAATTTATTTCCACTGTAATTTTTCTCTTTCTTTATAATTTCTTTTTTTTTAACATATCTTTTCCTCCCGACTTTACTTTTTTTCTCTAAAATTTTTCACTTTTTGTCTTTAACTTTTCTTTCACTATTTTTTTCTAAATCTTTTTATTTATCTCTAAAATTTATCTTCCAAAGGTTGATTTACATTTATCTAAATTTGTATTTTCATGTCTGTACATTAGRGGGTGACAAAAATTTCAGCACGGTTGTGTCCCAAAAAATAGGAAATGCATATCCYGACCCCGTCCCCGATTCTATTTTTTAAATAATTAATATATATTTATTGCACTTTTTTATACTTAAATTCTAAAAATAATTAAAAACAATAATAAAACCGATAATTTTTCTCGAGAATATCTCTCGGACCCAAGAATGAGGTGGAGACAGAGACTGAAAATTTTCACGACCACAAGAATGGGGGAGAGCATCCTCACTCGCACCCACACCATTGTCATCTCTACTCTACATCAAAATTTTCTCTCTCTAATATATATTTCAATTTTCTAACTTTTTAAAAACAAAAAATTAAAAATGGTTACCAAATATGTTTTGGTTTTTTATTTTTTAAAAATAGAAAACCAAAAACTAAAAACAAGATAAACCACTGTCAAAACCTAAAATGACGATGAAACGGACCTAAGGAATTTTTAACGGTCAGCAGTTTTCATTTGACAAAGACGACAACCTAGAAGTTGCCGAAGAACACGACAACAACAAATTGGGCCCAATTTGCTAAGTCATCGATGATATAAAAAGGAGTCAATTTTAGCAGCCTCTATAAATAATAATAATGCCTGATTAAAAAAAAACCTAAATAAATATCATATAAGTTCATTTCTATTTTTAATCTCTCCTACTTCTTCTTTAAAGTTTCATTATTGGTTTTTGTTTTCAATTAGAGTTTGCAGGCCTTTCTATATTTTTATTTTTTTTTAAATCCAACATGTGACAAGGTTTTTTTTTTTAAAGCAAGTGACAAGTTTATTTATAGWTGTGGTGGATAGACTTTAATTATGTGATATTTTGTTCGAATAACTTGAGAATCTAATAAATTATTTAGGGTGGAAAGTATAAATTCGAGTACTTTAAGATATATTTAATTTTGCAAGAGAGCAAGAGCAAGGTTAAGGTAGAAGTGTTTAAAAAATTCGATGATTCGAAAAGGTCTTTTGGTTGGGTTGTCCTATAAACTAATTTAGATTAGATTGGGTTCAAATAAATAAAAAACTCTATGAATTGAATTAGTTCACAGGTTGGTTTGAAGTAAGTTTGAGTTGGTTAAACTAATTGGAATGTATTATTAATTTAAACCCATTTTTTTTACACGGATATATTTATTTTAATTTTATTTCATTACATAATTCTTTACAACAACTTCTAAACATAACTTTTAAGTTTTTTAAGTGTAATTTTTCACCAATATTGTTGAAATACAACACTAACTATCTAGAAGCTTCTTGGAGTCTCTACATATTTCTCTTATGGGTAATAGTTAGTCAACTAGATTGTTCTTGAAGATTGTAAATAAATATCTAAAGAAAATGATCTAGAAATATCTTAGACTTTCCCTTAGGTTCCAAAGGATTCTAGCACTACAACAAATCAGAGTTTTAATGTCGGACAAAAAAAAATACGGAGGAAATGATGACGGACAMAAAAACTTGAGGAAACCAGGACGGACCAGTTAAAAAGGGCGTTAAAATAAAATAAAAATAAAAATAAAAATTTTAATGACGGGCCAAGCCCGACATTAAAGATTACCCAATTNTTAAAATAAAATAAAAATAAAAATAAAAATTTTAATGACGGGCCAAGCCCGACATTAAAGATTACCCAATTTTTAAACCTAACTCTAGTTTTCACCCAAAAAAAATATCTGCCTCCCAGCTCCATAGTCTTCGTGGAAGGGTGCACGAACGGCAGTGGGAGCGACGGAGAACTCCGACGATGACCTCCATCTCTTCGATCGATGGCGACGTTCATCTCTTCAAGCGCAACACCTTCATCCCTCCGAGCGACATTCAGTTTGGTCCCTATATTTTTCCATATTTTTCTCCTTCCTCTCGATCTTCTTTTCTCTGTTTTCTCTATTTTTATTTTTAGATCATCTGCTGGAAAAAAGGACGAGAAGACGGGAAGCTCATTTTCCTTTCGATTTCCCCTGCTTTAATATGACTTTCTACTATATCTATGCTCGATCTCATCTACGATTGCGATTTTCTTTTCTTGTTTGTTTTTTGGACGATTTATAATCTAAATGAACTTTTATTCTTTCGTGAATTTGTGCAAGAGAGGGATCTYGATGCTTTGAGGATCYTAGAAGGAGAGTCCCTTATTGTTCTTCTCAGGCTATGAACCACCKGTTGAAAGCCCTAAATATCAAGTACCCACTCCCCTATTTCTTGAGGATAAATGTTTGTTAACTTGCTAATTTTGTTGATTRACTATTGCATACTTGAGTAACTTGATTGTGATCATTGGGATACACGAAACTTAGTTGAACGGTGAACTTCACAATAGAATGGTGTTTTTGCTGTTTGCACTCCGCCATGGACTCCACAATGGTAAGTTAGAGTGTTCGTTTCAATTACTATTAGTGTGGTACTCGCATTATTTCTTTAATAGCCACAATAAGTTTCAATTACTATTAGTGTGGTACTCGCATTATTTCTTTAATAGCCACGATAAAGGAAGTTAGTACATATAATTTTCTTCTCAACTGGAACTTTTCTTATTCTTGATGTTTACATAACTCACACTCGGTAGTGCATATTCTCCTTCCCCCATTTCATTTTTGGACGCTTTCGTCCTTTTATATTGCTTTTGTCTTCTGAGTTATTCGAATTTATATCCTCCCCTCTGATTTTCCCCTTCTCGGTATTGGACAAATTGGACTAATTGTACTCCTCGTATTTATGGTTTTGTTTGAATTTCTGTGATGTTTTTTCCTCATGGTTTGGTTTTCTGTTGAATGATTTGAGTATCTGCTCATCTGGGTTGCTTTTGTTTTGAGAGAATTCTATGGCATTTGGTTWTTTCTGATTGTACTCTTTATGTATCTCTAGTTTCTTTAGYTGCAATACTTTGTTGGTCTTTTTGTTTATAATAACTTATTGTTATGTGAATGGATGTTTGGTTATGGAACCATAATTCTTGCATGAGTTGGTGTATTTGGTATTTTTGAAAGAAAATTAAGTTATATTTAAAATTGGACTTGAGTGAGTGCATTCCTGAGATGAGATTTTAAAAAGCATATTATCTGGAWATTTATTGTTTCTAGTTTTGGCCTTGATTCTATAAGAATGAGAAAGTTGGAATAGAGTAACTCTTGGTATTCTAATAAATGGAAAATATGCACTTCTAAGAATGAGCTAGAGCGCCTAGGCGTTATAGAAGAAAAAGGTGGGTTGCTAGAAGTAGACTTCCCCTCGGGACAAAATTCTTGCTTAAATTCCCAACGACCTTCTACTTAGCCTTGTGCTATATAGCTAGCTATTGAACGTAGAAGTTGGAGGATGAGATATCTTCTCTCTTTATTTTTTATATTTTTATTAAAGGAGGATGAGATATCTGGTTAAGAAAATAGGTCGTAGATTTAGAGATTCCATAATGTTTTGACTTGTTGGTATTATGAAAGTGCCAACTTTCATTGAGTTATTTTAACTTATTGTTTTCAAATTCATAAGTTCTATTTTTTTTTACACACTTGTGTTTGTTTCTTCCGAACATTTTGTCTTGTTAAACTAAAATGTAATTCTCCTAATGCAATGAAATTTGTTATGCAAATGAATCATTGTTTTTCTTAACATCTTTTGGTTACACGTTCCTTTTCTTTTGAAATGAATCCAAAATTTTCAATCATTAGGGTTCCTGTTATATGGTCATCTTTAAACTTTCATATATTAGWATCATATTGCCTCTATTATGAAGTATGYTCTCATCTCGATGTATTTTGTGTTGCATTGTATTGTTAAACATCCTATAAGCATGAAAGTGGTAATGGTCACGAGCCATATTACAGTTTGGAACGAGAAGAAGAAGAAGATTTGATTGAACGCCATGGTGAACGAATAACTGGATCTATCAGCCAAAGAAAAAAAGTTAACTCATTCTTGTACTCTTTTTAGTTATCCAAAAAAGAAAAATGAACTTGCACACTTTTTGTGATTTGGTTGGCTATTCAATTCTCTGTGTGGAGACAAATTATGGACATTTATRTTTGCAGAATTATCTACTATTTGATGAAGATATTGGGTCGAAAATCTTTCAAAGCCAAAGAGCTGAGGTATTTTTCCTTTAGTTTATAATTGAAATGAAATCTATACTCACTCTTGTATCTTCATTTACCTCTTTTAAATTTTAATTTTCTCTCCCTTTTTGTAGAACTGCTTTTCTCRCTGAGGATGRTTTATTTGACATGATTCGTACATCATCTTGCAATAAAGCTCTTCCAAGACAAGAAAAACTCACAGAGAAAGTACAATMAGTACAAGCAAAGAGTAAGTTTGCCTACTTATCTGATTGGAATACTGATGACACTAGGATTGTTGTTGTCAAACTTTTTAGGTGCCAATATTTCTGTTTGGGTTATTGTTGTTAGGTTGCAAATTGTTTATGCAATCATTTTCTGATGTTGTTAAACTTCATCAAATTTTCATTGAAATCTTTTTAGTAACTCATAATTATTTTATTTTTCAAATCTTCTAGATGTAGTGTATCCGTCAAGAGGGGTCTATAGAGTGCCGATACTATGTGCAAAAATATATACGAGGAAAGGTGCAGAACTCTATTACTCCAATAAATGAACTTGTACATATTATTATCTATCTTTATGTGTTTATATATTGTATTTATTCTTATATTCAGATTATCTTTCTTTTTTTGTAGTTTAACAGAAAAAATGCATATCAACAAGAAGAAATTGACGAGGTTCGAATAGAATGGGCAACTTTTGTAAGAAGATTTGTGTAGGCCTACTTATGGATTCACTCATTTTGTTCATTTGATGTAAGTATTTGGGTCGGGTTACTTTATGTAGTTGTATTAGTATAATGGAAATACTTTGTGTTTATATTATTGTTGAATTGTTGTTGTTTCTGTAGTAGTATTAGTAGAATGAAAATACTTTTTTTGTTTATATTAGTGTTGGATGGTTGTTGAATGCACATTTGTGGAGGAATGGTGGTCTTATTCGTTTTTTTTTTATAGAAAGATGTTAAATATATATGGATGTTTATATGAAGTGTTGAATTGTTGCTGAGTGTAATTTTTTTTAGGAATATATGAGTGGTTGACCCATTAATYTTTAAATATGGAAGTTTATACAGAAGTGTTGGATTGTTTTGTTTATAATATATAGAAGTCTGGATTCTTATGCTGAATGTAGTTTTGTTAGAGGGACGGGCGGTCCCATTTGTTCTTGTATGGAAGGGTGTTAATATAGAAGTGTTTGTTTTCTTTATAACCATGCTAGTTTTGAGTTATTCTAAAAGTGGAGAGGTTATGTTGAAATTTGTACTTTTGATTATTGTGTGATTATTTGTGTTTTGAGTCTAAGGTTAGTTTTTGAGTTAAGTTTTATAATAGATATTGTTTTATAATGAATGAATGTGTTAAAAGTTTTAGTTGCATATTGAGATAATATCATAGGTTTGAAAGAAATATATATAGTTGGTTAGCCAYGTCTGGGCAACCAAATATTTTTTTAATTAATTTATTCACAAAATAATGATGGTCAATGCCTGTCACGAAATATAGTCATTCCATGACGAACAGACGATGGCGTACAAACAATGACGCACATACAATGTTGGTTGTCACCCGTCATGGTTATCATTTCATGACGGGCATGTCCGTCATGAAAAACGCTATACATGACGGGCGCTGCCCGACCTTAAAATAGTCCTTTCATGACGRCCATGTCCGGATGGAAAGAGAATATACATGACGGGYAATACCCGACCTTAAAACTGTCCGACATGAAAGGGAAACAAGGACACTCGTATAGRTGTCGGTCAGTGACCGACATGGTTATTATTTAATGACGGGCAATGCCCGTCATGAAAAGGCAAATTTGTTGTAGTGTAGAGAAATCTTTTGGATAAGAATAAATAAAGAAAGATCTAGTAAGATTTGAGAGGAGCCTAGAAAGTTCTTTTTGCTTCGGCTCCAAGGATCTTTCTCCTATAAATAGGAGAGATGTCCRTGTGAATCAAGTGAAAGTGTGAAGAGGGTGAATCAAGAGAAGTGAGTGAAGAAGGAGAGGAAAGTTAGAGAGTGTGAGAGAGTCTTCCATCAAGAGTGTTCATATTTCTACTTTCCTAATAAAAGTATCTTTCTTCGAGCGATTGTCTCTTTCCTATTATGCTAATTCATTCAACACTTCGTATCAGAATTGCGCTAATTAATTCAACAAATATAAATAAACATTGACTTACGGATCTTGATTTAATGTTAAAAGTATGTAAATTATAAATGCTTAAGATATTAACATTTACTTTTTTTTTTGTTATGCATTATTTTGAATGAGGTGATCTGAATAACTCGAATCAACCCAACTCAAATATTGTACGGTTAGGTTCATTATTTAATAAAAATTGTTTGGGTTGAATAAATTTACAAGTTGAATAATTGGGTTSGRTCCTAGTACCTTATCCCAACCCAGCCTATGAAACACCCCTCAACTAAAGGGTTAATCTTGTTTTAGTTGAATTTTTATTACTTCTTTTATATCAAGTGCAACCATGTAACCAGAACGAAACGACATATATCTTTAACCAAGAGATTGTGATCTCCAACCTCCACATATTGTCCTAAAAAAAGTGCAACCATGTATAAAATTGTCTTTTTTAATTTCTTTTTCTCTACACTAATTGYAAAGATGTCTTAGGAAACTTTTAGTGGGGTGAATAAAATTTTTCAAAATATAAAGATCAAAAGTGCTACTAAATTTAGGGAATTAATCTCCTTCCACTAAGACACCTTGTTACTTCTTAAGAATTAGAGGTTCGATCATTCGGTTGTACTAAAAAACAATAGTTTGATTCCATTTCATTATTGCTTAGATCTCCATCTTCCTMGTGTCAAATGCCACATCATACTTTGATTAACGGATAGATTGAAAATTAAAAAAAAATATTTAGGATTGTGATGATTGAAAATTAACATAAAAGTATCATTAGTAAATTTTAACTTTTATACACAAAATAGTGGGGACTTCAAGGAATATCTTTTGGCTTTCCTTGATTTTGAACTCGCTCCCCGCTAGAGAATGAATGTTGAAAACTCTTCGATGACATGTTCCTTTGAGTGCAAAATTATTCCTTAGCTGTGCCTGTTTGGTACCGAGCTCTTTGAGGGCCTTTCTTTATCCATTCATGCTAAAAGGTAGTAAGTGGAGTCAGGCACAAAGTGATCCTCGACTGTTGAAAGAAGCCTTGTTCGATCTCCTSTTGAAGTGGTGACTCACCTGCAACATAAGTTTTTCAAACCTAAGTTCATTCCACTTTCCACTTGACGAAGGCAAAAAGAAAGATCTCGAATACGACGGTTTTTCAGGCGTATAGAGAATGACACGATCATCTAGCCTTGGTCCTCATCATCTTATTCTTAAAATGCATGGATATGGGGACAATGTGCATACCCCAGGTATATGGACATAAATGTCGAAAGGGCTGTCCACCCTAGGATTTCAAAAAAAAGAAATAAAAAACTGATATTTCG